CCACATGCTGCAGAGCAACTAAGCTGCCCATGTGCCACAACTACTGAGCTTGTGCTCTAGAGCCCATATGATCCACAAATCCCACTCCTGGGCACATAACCAGAGAAAACTTTGAAAAGATACATGCACCTCAGTGTTAATTGCAGCACTATTTACAACAGCCAAGACATGGAAGCAACTTAAATGTCCATCAACAGAGGAATGGATTAAGAAGATGTGGTACATATATACAATGGAATATTACTGAGCCATAAAAAGGAATGAAATAATGCCATTTGCAGCAACATGGATGGACCTAGAGATTATCATACTAAATGAAGTCAGAGAAAGACAAGTATTATATGATATCACTTATATGTGGAATATAAAAAAATGATACAAATTAACTTATTTACAAAACAGAAACAGACTCACTTATTCACAAAACAGAAAGAGACTTTGAAATCAAACTTATGGTTACCAAACTTATGGTTATATATATACTACTATATATAAAACAGATAATCAACAAGGACCTACTGTATAGCACAGGGAACTCAATATTCGGTAATAATCTTTCTCAGATTCTTTTCTATATGAGAAAGGAATCTGAGAAAGAATGGATACATGGGACTTCCCTGGTGGAGCAGTGGTTAAGGATCCACCTGCTAATGCAGGGGACACAGGTTCGAGTTCTGGTCCGGGAAGATCCCACATGTCGCGGAGCAACTAAGCCCATGCGCCACAACTACTGAACCTGCGCTCTAGAGCCTGTGAGCCACAACTACTGAGCCCACGTGCCACAACTACTGAAGCCCACGTGCCTAGAGCCCGCGCTCCGCAACAAGAGAAGCCACCGCAATGAGAAGCACGCGCACCGCAACAGAGCAGCCCCCGCTCGCCGCAACTAGAGAAAGCCTGCGCACGGCAACAAAGACCCAACACAGCCAATAATAAATAAGATAAATAAATTTATTTTAAAAAATAGAATGGATATTTGTATATGTATAACTGAATCATTTTGCTATACACCTGAAACTAACACAAACTGTAAATCAACTATACTCTAATATAAAGTAAAAAATTTTAAGCCTATGAATAAACAAATCTGTGGCTCTACCTAAAATAGTAAATAAACCCTTGATATATTACACTATTAAAACAAAACAAAACAAAACACATTCGTTCAGTGACGAATAGATGGTTGCATGGTGAGGGAAACCTTTCTGGAAGGCAGGGACCCGAAGCCACAGGTGGAAGAGGTATCACGCCAACTGGGCAAAGCCCTCTTTGGTTTATAACCCCTTTCACAGCTGCCTTAAGAACCACATGAAAGGGGCTTCCCTGGTGGCGCAGCGGTTAAGAATCCACCTGCCACTACAGGGGACATGGGTTCGAGCCCTGGTCTGGGAAGATCCCACATGCCGCGGAGCAACTAAGCCTGTGCACCACAACTACTGAGCCTGCGCTCTAGAGCCCGTGAGCCACAACTACTGAGTCCATGTGTCACAACTACTGAAGCCCACGTGCCTAGAGCCCGTGCTCCGCAACAAGAGAAGCCACGGCAATGAGAAGCCCGCGCACCGCAACAAAGACTAGCCACCGCTCACCGCAACTAGAGAAAGCCCGTGCTCAGCAACGAAGACCCAACTCAGCCAAAAATAAATAAATAAAAATAAATAAATTAAAAAAAAAAAGAGCCACATGAAGAAAGCAAGGGAACAGCTAGCTTCTGGTCTAAAGCTCCCCATTTTCTAGATGAAGAAACCGAGGTCCAAGAGGTTAAGAGACTTGGCTCAGGTCACCTGGGGGATGGGTAACTCTCCCCGGCACACCCCAGACCTCTGGTCCTGCAGGCAACGGCAGCAGGTGACACCCCAACCAGGTCAGCAGCCACCATGACCACCTCCCCCAGAGCTTCAGTGCTGGGAGAATCCCACCTTCTCCCAGACTCACGACTTTCCCTTCCCCCAGGCCAGCACTTGCCCCTCCTCCATCGTTGCCCTCTGACAGTGCCCCAGCACTCAGTATGGTGAGACAGAGATTCCTCCGGAAACCCCAAAGGGTGAGCTCATGACTCTTCTAGGCTCCATCACCCAACATCACAGACCCATTCAACAGGAGGCTACAAGGAGGGGCGGACTCAGCCATTAAGCCAGTCAGTGCAGGGAAGAGCCCTGAACAAGATGGACACAGGATGCCCTTGCCATTCCTGGAGCTGACCCCCTGGGGAGGAGGGCAGAGAACAAACTGACACATACTTGAATGAATCAGATGATGGGAGAGAGCGGCTAATGCCTTGAGAAAAATTAAGCAAGGTGATGTGATAGCGAGCGAGGGATCAGCGTCTAGTCTAGTTTCATCTCAGGCTCTGGAGGCACGTGTGGACAGGGCTAGTGGAGAAACACTCCAGGACATGGGCCAGCAACAGCCCTCTTGACGCCACCACAGAGCAGAGGCCAGGTGGCCCAAGGAAGGGAGAGGACACCTGGCTAGGAGCCAGGAGGTGCCTCGGACCCCCGCTCATTCCTCAGGCCCTGTAGGACCTCAGGAAGCCATGAATCCCCTTGGGACCCCATACCCTATTTCTGGACAGCATGGGTGGGGCATGATCATCTTCTCCAGTTGCTGCCTGCCAAGACCCTACGGTGACCTGGCCTCCTGGCTTCCAAGGAGCCCACCCTGTGTCCTGCAGGGGACCTGGCAGGAGGGGAGGAATCCTGCCCCCTCTCTGAGGCCATATTCTCCCAGCTGGAGGGAGATGGATTCCTGAAGTGACTGCCCTGACTCAGCAGCCCCTGCAAGGGTTAGAGGAGAGGAGAGCATCAGGCAGATGGGACCCCGGCCCTGGCTGAGGGCTTCACAGTAGGGGACCTTGCCTGGCAACCTTGCTCCTGCGGGAATTCCTAGAGAATGCTCTTCTGTTTTCCATCACCCCTTAGAGCCCTGCGAGGTCAGCCCAAGGTGGGGGAAATGGGACCACCCCACTGGATCTACCATCCCCCATGGTGTTCTCTTCAGCCTAGTGGCACCTTCCTGTTCAGGACCCTGCCTGCCCCGGAACAGCCCAGAAGTCCAACATTTGGATTCTGAGGCTCCTCTCTCCAGGAAGGAAGTGGGAGAGAGAGAAGCGAGCTTGCCTGAGGAAATCCCAGAAGGAATCCTAAATCAGTGACCCACATCAGGCTTACTAATATTCTCATGAATAATGATAACGATGGTTAACATTAATTGAGCGCTTATCGGGCACCAGTCACAGCGCTGGTGCACAAGCCCTTTGTTGTCTAATTTAATCCTCACAACTACCTTTAAAGAACTACACAACTACCCTAAAAGATTATAAAGATGTACAGAGTATTGCTCTTACTACTTTACAGGTACAGAAACTGAGGCTCTAGCTCCGACCCTCTTCTTACGTCCCTGGATTTTTAATTCTTGTGGCCTCTGGGAGGGAGGTCCCATGACCACCAGTGCACCCAACTTTGCAGAACACCTGCCCCCTGGCCCAGGTTCCAGTCTCCCAGCAGTCCTGTAAACTGGATTGTGTCAAATTTTGCTTCATTTTACCAATGGAAACGCCCTTAAGCCCTAGGAGTGACAAGGCACCCAAACAGGACACGGCAGAGGGCCAGGAGAACTCAAGTGTCCACATTCTTAGCCCACAGTTCTTTCCATGGAGAAAACTGCCTGGGTGACCCCTCCCACTCCAGCCAGCTATGTCACATGCCTGGGACAGTCCCAGCGCTCACTGGGCTCCATACCAGAGGAACTGCAATAAAACCACTTTTTATGTTTGCACCCAGCCTCCATATGCACAGGCCCTGGACAATGAGCCCATTTTACAGATGAGGACCTGGGCTCGGAGGGGAGGAAGGTCTAGGCCAGGGGCCCACTGCTGGGTAGGCGTTCAGACCCAGGTCTCCCAAGCTCTCCATTAGGGCTGTGCAGCTGCCGAAGGTTACAGCTTGGCTCCTCTCCCCAGTTACTGAAGCTGTGGGTGCTCCAAGAAACAGAAACAGCCCCCCATCCCTCAGTGACAGCCCACACCCCTAGGGGAGCAAACACTAAGGGCAGACAGAAACAAAGGGCCACTCAGCTAATTCTCCCAGATCCTTTGCCCTTGTCACTTCACCCAGTACGTAACAGGGCTGGGGGAGTCCCAGATAGTAAGAAGAACTTCCACCTGGCTAACAGAGCCCTGGGTTCCAGTGCCACCTGTCACCTTGGGCAAACCACAGCCCCTTCCCCAAAGCGGCTTGTCCAACAAGGCTGGGGGATGACATGGGAAGAGGAAAGTAAGACCCCTCTATTTTTCAGAGAAGCAGCTCTGCGGGGTAACGAGGAACGGGAAGGAAGAAAGGGCCTTGCTCTCTCTCTCTCTCTCGCCATGCTTCCCCCTCCCCGCCCCCACCCAAAACACACAGGTGCCAGATACCGTTTGAGAAAAAACTAGTTTGCAAACACACTCCGACTTCTGGGAAGCTGCCCAGTTCCACTCCCTCTCTTTGCTCCCCCTTCCCCCGCAGGGAGCTGACTCTCTAGCAGTTCTCTGGGGCCGGGGACGGAGGGGGGTTGGGGGGCTGGGAGTAGGGCACGGGGGGCGAGGAGCGGGCCCCGCGCCTGCCCGGAGCCAGCCCGAACTCAGCACTTCCGTAGCTGCGATGGTGGCGGGGCTCCACCTTCCTGACGCCCCCAGGCGCCTCCGGGAAGGTAGGAGGGTCCCTAAACCGCTGGGCTCGGACCCCGGGCGGCGCCACCGTCCTCTCGGCACCCTGCCCTCTGTTCCCCCGCGGTCGGGGCGAAGACGGAGCGCCCCCGCGTGGCCGGGTCGGAATTCAGTCACCCAAACGCCGGGGTCCGGGTGAGCGCGGGTGGAGGGAGGGGGCTTGGGGTTCCGCAGTCCCCCGAAGCGGAACCCAGCTTCCTTACAAGCCGCCACTGGCACCAGAAGCCGAGCCCCAAGGCCGAACTTGAGCCCTCCCGCCAGGGCGCCCCGCCCGCCCCTTTGGGGCCCCACTCACCTCGGGTCCCGCTACCCTCACCGCGCGGCTGCCGCTCCCCGCACTCCGGGCCACCGGGGCATCCCCGGGAGCTCCCCTGCTCGGCTGGGCCCGCGGGCGCGGGACAGGCTCAGGGCGCTGCCCCCGCAGCCATGGCCAGCTCGCGTGCGCCCGCAGCTGCTCGAGGACCAGTCCTCCTCCCCGGCCGGGCGGGTAGTGGCGGCGGCTGCTGCTCGGGCTCCTCCCTCGGCCGAGGGCGGGGGCGGGCGTGGGGCGGGAAGTGGGAGGCGAGGCGGGCGCTTCCTGGAGGGGCGAGCGCTCCCACGGGCGGAGCGGGGACGATATCCTGCCCGCCCGCCGCCCGCGGCTGGCGCGCCCAGGCACACCGGGTTGTCAGTGCCTCGGGGCCCCGAATGTTCGAGGCCGGGATCCGAGGATCTGAACGTTCCAGGCTAGGATTCCGCGGATCGGAACGCAGCTGGTTCGCACTCGCCCCAGGCTGGCCTCGCCCGAGCCGCTGGCACCTCCGAGTTGCCCGCACTGTGCGCTCAGGGCTGCCGACGCGGGATCCGAGGGGTGGGGTCGGCCCGGACCTGCCAGGCCCTAGGGCGCCCTCTGCAGCCTCGACCCCAAGGACTGTTCGGCTCAACGCTGCGCCCTCGGGGGATATACCACGGGGTTTGGTTCTGGGCTGTATCGGGCAGCACTAGGATCGCTGTGTTTTCTTCTTTTTTTTTTTTTTTTTCCGATAGTAAAAGAGCTCGGCGTTTTCTTGTTACCGCCAGGGACTGGGAAGATGACACAAGCGTTATTTCTCTGACAGAGACGATAAGATAAACAGTTCGAACAGTGCCTGGGGCTAGTCAGCGGGAGGGCGTCTAGCGGGTCCTTGAGACCTTAGCGCACCGAGTCCGCCCTTCGGCGGTGGCCTTCTTTTCCCTAGAAGAGGCACCAATTCTTAAGAAATTCGTCTGTCGCTGGGCGCTCGTGCTGCAGGCCACTCGGCAGTATTTATGTGCTCGCTCCCCCCGCCCCTCTCCCCTATCCAGTGCCTCAGACAAAGGAGCCTCATTTAACCAGATTGTGGGGGACAGAGCTGGCTCGGGGATCTCAAGACCACGTCCACAGCCCTTGGCCCCGGGGCTCACAGACTGGGAATCTGGGAGTTAACGCAGAACACTTGGGTTGTGGGTTTTCCATTCTAGGCAGGTGAGGGTTAACTGGGAGACTCACGCTGCATCCTGCGAACCTCCCTCCACGTCTGAGTCACAGGCACTTTGCAGCCTTAGAGGGCGGCTGCTAAACAGCCCCAGGGCTCTGGGCTTTGTTCCCTGCCTGCCTCCCCCCCACCCCCACCCCGACCTCCATCCATCCTTCTTTTCTCCAAACTCTCATCTTGCTTCCAACCAAAGTCCTCAAAGCCCTCAGCCCAGCTGTGGGGCAAACCAATCTAGAGGTGTTCTTAGACGCAGCTGTAGCCCCTCTTCCTCCAGGAAGCCTTTTCTGATTGATCTGGCCCCCAGAATCCCTCTCCTCTCCTGGCTCCAGAGCAGGAGAGCCAGGCACTGGGATGGACAGTGGTGAACCCAAGCAAAGAGTGCCTCCCCTCACGCTGCTCACCTCTTGGGGGCAAGACCACGGCCCAGGCAATCATATTACTGTATGAAAAGTGCAAAGGTTTGAGGCAGGGTTGTTCAGAAGACCCAACTCAGCCAGAGGAGTCAGCGAGGCTTCCTCTCGGAGACCTGAAGGATGAGGTAGTTGGGCCTGCTGAGCGGGGTGGGGGGTGGGGGGGGAAGATACCTGATCCCTGGCCACGGGCGGAGTACAAAGGCCACAGGTCACAGCAATTCCACTCCTAGGAAAGGGAAATGAAAACATACATCCATACAAAAACTTGTACATGAATGTTCATTGCAACATGATTCAGAATAGCCAAAAAGTGGAAACAACCCAAAGGTCCATCAACTGATGAAGGATAAACAAAATATGGTCTCTCCATACAACAGAATATTATTCAGCCGCAGAAAGGCATGATGTATATACAACATGGATGAGCTTTGAGAACATTGTGTTAAGTGAAAGAAGCCAGTCACAAAAGACCACATATTGTATGGTTCCATGCATATGACATGTCCAGACTAGACAGAGCCATAGAGAAAGAAAGCAATGATTTTAAATGTTTTAAAATTATAGTGATAGTTACACAACTGTAGATAAAACCATTGATTGTATACTTTAAAGAGGTGAAGGCTGTAGTATGCGAATTATATCTCAATAAAGCTTTTTTAAAAAATGTCAGGGCTCAGGAGAGCCCAGAGGTCAGTTGTTTAAGGCCAAGTGTCCATCGTGGGTTGATTCTGCAGTCTGTCTTTAATCCACACACAATACAAGGCTGTTACTACAAAATGCTGAAGTCTTTCCTTGCCCTGATAGAGACTTCTCTGTGCACGATTGGGAGGCCTCAATTTCCCTAAATAGGCTGATAGTAGGGTACGTGCACACATGCGCATATGGCTTGTGAATTAGTGACTTGAAAGAGCACCACCTGCGTAGCAGGCCCTGGCTGGACTCAGGTGTATGTGAGCTGGGAGAGGATGGAGGGTGTCCCAGTTATCTATGCTACATCTCAAATCACCCCAAGCATTATCATCTCTCATGGCTCTGGGGGGCCTCTGGGCTCAGCTAGGGCAGTTCTTGTTCAGGATTTCTCAAACAGTTGCAGTCAGACCATGACAGGGCCTGGAGTTACCTAGAAGGCTTTCACACACATTTGTCTGGAAATTGATGCTGGCTGTCAGCTGGGACCTCAGTTGGAACACCTACCCGTGACGTTCCATGTGGCCTGGGCTTCCTGGCAGCATGGTGGCTGGGTTCCAAGAATGAGTATCCCAAGGGAACCAGGTGGAAGCCTCATTATCTTTTACTGGACTTTGGAATTCATATAATGTCACTTCTGCCGTAGTCACTGGCTCTCTCCACAGACCCCGCCCCTAGGTGAGAGGAGTGTCATTGTCATTTGTAGGAAGAGCACGTGGGCAGGGAGAGGTTACAGTGGCCATCTTTGGAAAATACCATCTGCCCACAAAGGGGGTTGATGTGGAGACGCATCAGCGGTGGAGACATCCCCTCCGGGATCTCACGGAGAGAGGTGGGTGTGGCTCACCGCACTCCTACATCTCAGGCCTAGAGTCATGGCCCCGGCTTTGAATCTCAGCCTGTCCAGTTACTGCCTGGGTGACATCACTCAATGCTCTGGGCTTCAGTTTCCTCCTGTGTAAAATGTAAGGATGGATTTAGTATCTGGTGTCTAGCCTGGTACCAGGCATGCCTAGACCCCAGGGCTAGCATGTCATTATTGCTACTTTTAAGATCCAGGGTTGTGGTCACTCTAATGCAGGGATATCCCCTTCCAGGGTCAGGATGCCCATGCCTCCCTCCACCTCCCCAGGCCCTCCAGTCAGCCCCAGACACCTCCATCAGCCCCAGTCTTGCACTATACTATGCATGTGCGGGGCCTATGGGCACAGCCCAGGAGACTGATACTTCCGGCTTAAGACACTCAACCTGGGGACCCCAGTTGGCCTCTGTTCTCTTGCAAAAGTTCCTCTTCTGTCACCTCCTCCTCAGGGCAAAGGTTGATTTCTGGGCAGCCAGGGCAGGGCTGGGGCTTGTGTGGGATGAGCAATAAGGCGTGGATTCCAAGGGCTGAAGGGGAGGGAGGACTCCAGCTCTGGGGGGCTTCGAGACACACTGGGGTGGTGGGGTGCTGTACTGGCGTGGCTGGGGGTTGGGAGGAAGACCAGCTGTCCCTGGGCCCAATCCTGGGAGGATCTGTACCAAACCAGCCACTGCAAGGTCTTTTCTCGGAAGTTCCGGATGTGTCCAGAGGGCATACAGAGCTCTGGCTGGGGCCACCGCCCTCAGGCCTGGCCTTGGCCAGGGAAGGGAGGGGCTGGGGGCCAGAGGCAAGGTCAGGAAGGTCATATGGCCCTCTCGCCTTCCTGGGGACCCTTCTCTTTGAACATACAGACCCACAGACCAGTTAAGTCCCCAGCCAGGATCACCCCAACGTCCTCCCTCCCTTAGTGTTCCAGAGTTGGAATCTGAGCTCCACTGAATACTTGCTGTGGAATCTTGGGCAAATCTTGTTTCTCTCTGGGCCTCATTCGTAAAATGGAGGACATTGTTATTGAGGTTGTGGCTATGGGTCTAGAGGAGGTCCCAGAGGGTGAAGCCCTACAGAACTGTAACCAGGTGAGGCAGGAGACAGAGGATTCAGATCCCACCTGAGGGTGTGTAGAGATGAAGCATAAGGTCATCTTTGCAGCTGGAGAAAGTAGGTCCTTGTGCTCTGACTCATTTTGCTTGTGCCCTCACTATACAGATGAGGAAACTGGGGCAGCACCTGTGGGATTAAGAGTCACAAAATTTGAAAGTTGTTGAGAGAGTAGATCCTAAGAGTTCTCAAGAAAAAAACTTTTTTTTCTTTTATTTGTATCTTATAGGACATGATGGATGTTAATAAACTTATCATAGTAATCATTTCACAATATATGTAAATCAAGTCATATCACACACCTTAAACTTATACCGTGCTGTATGTCAATTATATCTCAATAAAACTGGAAAGAAAAAAAGTTTTAAAAAAAAGGTTGTGAAGACCCAGGTTCAATTCCTGGTGCTACCCCTTACTAGTTTTCACTTACTATACTTACTAGCTTACCTTTGGGCAAGTTAGGAAAAATCTCTGGGTCTCGGTGTCCTCATCTGAGAAAGGAGGGTCACCAGGATCTACCAGGACAAAAAATAAGGTAGGTGCAAAGGGTTACCTCGCCTCTCTGAGGGGCAGCATACTCCAGACTAGTGGGTCTCCAATGCTGGCTGCACGTCAGAACCACCTGCAGAGCTTTCTAAATACCACTCTAGTCTTAGAAAGGCAGCTTTAAAAGCTCCCCAGGTGATTCTAATGTGCAGTCAGGATTGAGATCTACTCACCGGTCTGCACTTTCACTAAGTGTGGGCCAGCAGCATTACTTGGGGGCTTCTTAGAAATGCAGAATCCCAGGCTCTGTCCCAGACCCGCTGAATCAGAATTTGCAAATTAACGAGATCCACAGATGATT